GCCACCTGGGGGAAGACCGTGGTGAGAGGCAAAGCCGGAGCCATCGTGGAGCTGCCCTGCCAGAGTTCCCAGAAGAGGAACTCAGTCTTCAACTGGAAACATGCGAACCAGGTCAAGATCCTGGGAAACCAGGGCTCCTCCTCCTCCTCCTTCTGGCTTAAAGGTAGGACATCCTTGTCCCCTGGCCAGGGAGGAAAACACACTATGGATTAAACACCCCTGGTCAGACACCAGCTCCTGGAAAACTCTGAGATTCCAAAAGTCTGGGGTTGACCGAAACTCTCTGATCCTTTTGCCCAAAGTTCCTCTATACCAACTGCTGCTGGCCCAGGGAATGGCTTTGGTTAGTATATTGATTCTAATATATCGATGTTTGTGGTCTTACTTTAATAGTCATTAAGAAAATAATTATATGAAACTGATAACTTCACGAATTTATTGCTATGGACCCTTGTAGACAATACTTTGTTTACTTCCATTAAAAGCAACAAAACAGGGGTTGGCATTGTGGTGTAATGGGTTACATGTGACACTGTCATCCCATATCTGAATACCAGTTGGAGTCCTGGCTACTGGCTTCCAGTCCATCTTCCTGTGGATGTGCCTGGAAGGGCCAGGGTTGTGGCTCAGCAGGTTAAGCTGCTGCTTGGGATGCCACATAGGAGGGCTGGTTGCTTCACTTCTGATCCAGGTCCCTGCTAATGGCCTGGGAAAAGCAGCAGATGATGGCCCAAGTGGTAGGGCCACTGCCACCCACGTGGGACACCTGGCTGAAGCTCCTGGCTGACCCAGCACTGGCTGTTGCAGCCATTTGGGGAATGAGCCAGCAGGTGGGAGACTGCTCTCTTCTGGCTCTCCCTCTTTCTGTGTTACTCTTTCAAGATAAATGAAAAAAAAAATTTTTTTTTTAAAAAGTCAACATCTGGGATGGGATATTGTGCTATAGTTTTTGCAAGTTGTAACCCCAGGGTAAACCTAGTACAGGTTCATAGGATCACCTGTCTTATTGCTTGCAAATGCATGTTAATCTGTAATATCTCAATACAAAAATTTTAATTTTAAAATCACCAGAATATGGGACTGGCATTGTGGTGCAGCAAGTTAAGCTGTTGCTTGTGACACTAGCATCCCATATCTAAGCTCTGATTTGCTATTTTATTTGAAAGGCAAAGCACCAGAGAGAGAAAGAGAGAGAGAGAGAAAGAAAGAAAGAAAAAGAAAGAAAGAAATCCATCTTCTGGTTCATTCCCCAGATGGCTGCAACAGCCAGGGCTCAGCCAGGCAGAAGCTAGGAGCCAGGAATTCCATCAGGGTCTCTTATGTGAGTGGCAGGGGCCTACCCAAGCCCTTTGGGCCACCTTCCACTGCTTTCCCAGGTACATTAGCAGGGAGCTGGATTGAAAGTGTAGTAGCTGGGACTCGAACCAGTACTCTGATACAGGATGTTGGCCAACATCAGCTCCCTGAGTCTACTGATTGTAGCTTCCTACTTATGTGTGCCCAGAGAGGCAGAAGATGATAACTCAAGTACTTGGGTCCCTACCATGCATGTGGGAGACTTGGAATGAGTTCCAGGCTCCTGGCTTCAGCCTGATCCTGCCCTATCTACTGCAGGCATTGGGGAGAGTACCAGCAGGTGAAAGCTTGCTCTCTCTCTTGCTCATTCACTCTCAGTATGTTTCAAATAAATGATTAAATATTTTTAAAAGAAAGAGCATCTTAAAATAACTTTTATGAGGCTGGCCCCATGGCATAGTAGATTAAGCCTCCACCTGTGGCACCAGCATCTATATGGGTACTAGTTGTGGTCCAGCTCTCTGCTATGGCCTGGGAAAGCAGTGGAAGATGGCCCGAGTGCTTGGGCCCCTGCACTCTCATGGGGGACCTAGAAGAAGCTCCTGGTTCCTGGCTTCAGGTTGGTTCAGCTCTGGCCATTGTGGCCATTTGGACAGTAAACTAGTGGATGGAAGATCTCTCTTTTTCTGTCTCTCCCTCTCTCTGTCTGTAACTCTGCCTCTCAAATAAATAAATCTTTAAAAAAAGAAAAAGCTTTTATAATGTATGTTATGGGGTCCTACATTGTAGCACACTGGGTTAAACCACTGCCCGTGACACCAGCATCCCATATGGGAGCACGAGTTCAAGTCCCAGTTGCTTTGCTTCTAATCTAGCTCCAGCCAAGGTGCCTGGGAAAGAGGGAAGGATGGTTCAGGGCTTGAGCCCCTGCCACCCACCTGGGAGACCCCGATGGAGCTCAGGGCTCCTGGTTTGGGCCAGAGCCAGGGTGGCCATTTGGGGAGCACACCAGATGATGGAAGATATCCCTCCTTCTCTCTCTGTAACTCTTGATTTCAAATAAATAAATAAAAATCCTTTTTTTAAAAAAATGTTACTAATATTTCCCATTTCGTGAAAAATTATATCATTTTAGTGCTAGTCTAATATACCACTAAATTAATATACTCTAATGTGCAGCCATTACCCTTTTGTCTAACACTTTGCTCTATTAACACCATAATTTTTAAATTAATTTTTTAGAAAAGCACAGAGAGAGACAGATCTTCCATCTGCTGATTCACTCCCTAAAATGCCCACAGCAGCTGGGGCTGGGCCAGCCTGAAGCCCAGAGTCTGGAAATCATTCCAGATCTCCCACATGGATGGCAGGGATTCAAGCACTTGGGCCGCCACTTGCTGTCTCTGAGAGTATGAGTTAGCAGGGAGCTGAAAGTAGAAGCAGAACCGGGGGCCAGCATTGTCAAATAGTGAGTTAAGTCTCCACCTGCAGCATTGGCATCCCATAATGGCACTGGTTCGAGTCTCGGCTGTTCCTCTTCTAATCTAGCTCTCTGCTATGGCTTGGAAAAGCAGTAGAAAATGGCTTAAGTGCTTGGGCCCTTGCACCTGCTTGGGAGACCAGGAGGAGCTCCTTGCTCCTGGCTTTGGATCAGCCCAGCTTCGGCCATTGCGACCAATTAGGGAGTGAACCAGCAAATGGAAGGCCTTTCTCTCTGTCTCTCTTTAACTCTACCCATCAAATAAATAAAATCTTAAAAAGAAAATAAAAGAAGCAGAACTGGGACTTAAATCCAGGGAATCCAGATACTCTGATATAGGAAGTTAGCATCCCAAACAGCAGCTTAATTGCTATTTCCTCTTTCTCCTGTTTTTATTTATTTATTTGCAAGGCAGAGTTGAGCGAGTGAGATTTTCCATCTGCTGGGTTCACTCTCACTCCCCGAATGGCCACAACAGCCAGGGCTAGGTCAGGCTGAAGCCAGAAATCAGAAGTCAAGAGCTTCATGCAGGTCTCCCACATGGGTGCAGGAGCCAACACTCAGGCCACCCTCCACTGCTTTTCCCAGGCCATTAGCAGGGAGCTGGATGGGAAGTGGAGCAGCTGGGACTCCAACTGGCACCAGTATAGGATGCCAGCATTACAGAAGGTGGTTTAACCTGCTGCACCCCAACCCCAGCTCCTTAACTGCTGTTTCAAATGTCCACTCTATAATTATTTTTAAAAAGATTTATTTATTTAAAAAGCAGTGACACAGCAAGAAAGAGGAAGGGAAGGAGGGACAAAGAGAGGGAGGTGGGCTAGAGAGACAGAGAGATCTTTCATCTGCTGGTTCACTCCCTAGATGGTTGTGACAGCCAGGGCTGGGCCAGGCCAAAGCTGGGAGCCCAGAACTCCATCCAGGCATCCCACATGGGTGGCAGGGGCCCAAGTACGTGGTCCATCATCCACTGCTTTTCCAGGCACATTAGTGGGAAGCTAGATCAGATGCAGAGCAGCCAGGACTTGGACGAGCACTCTAATATGGGATGCCAACTTCCCAAGTGGCAGTTTAACTTGCTGTGCCACAACACCAGTCACTATAGTTATTATTTTCGAACTTAAATTTTGAATTACATTTTCTTTCCTTTTTTAAAGATTTATTTATTTACTTGAAAGTCAGAGTTACACGGAGAGAGGAGAGGCAGAGAGAGGTCTTCCATCCACTGGTTCACTCCCCAATTGGCTGCAACGGCTGGAGCCGGGCTGATCTGAAGCCAGGAGCCAGGAGCCTCTTCCAGGTCTCCCACATGAGTGCAGGGGCCCGAGGACTTAGGCCATCTTCTACTGCCCTCCCAGGCCATAGCAGAGAGCTGGATTGGAAGTGGAGCAGCCAGGACTCAAACTGGTGTCCATATGGGATGCTGGTACTGCAGGCAGTGGCTTTACCCACTATGCCACAAATTGAATTTTTAAATTATCATTGTAAGGGCCGGTGCCGTGGCTCACTAGGCTAATCCTCCGCCTTGCGGCGCCAGCACACCGGGTTCTAGTCCCGGTCGGGGTGTTGGATTCTGTCCCAGTTGCCCCTGTTCCAGGCCAGCCCTCTGCTGTGGCCAGGGAGTGCAGTGGAGGATGGCCCAAGTGCTTGGGCCCTGCACCCCATGGGAGACCAGGAGAAGCACCTGGCTCCTGCCATCGGATCAGCGCGGTGCGCCGGCAGCGGCGGCCATTGGAGGGTGAACCAACGGCAAAGGAAGACCTTTCTCCCTGTCTCTCTCTCTCTCACTATCCACTCTGCCTGTCCAAAAAAAAAAAAAAAAAAAAAAAATCATTGTAAGGGTAAGGTTTTAGAAACGAGATGAAGGGGGACTGGCACCATGGCATGATAGGTTGGGCCCCTGGCTGTGGCACCTGCATCCCATATGGGAACTGGTTTCGCTCTCAGCTGCTCCTCTTCCCATCCAGCTCTCTGTTGGTGGCCTGGGAAAGCAGCAGAGGATGGCCCAAGTGCTTGGGCCCCTGCACCCACATGGGAGACCCAGAAGAAGCTTCTGGCTCCTGGCTTTGGAACAGCCCAGCTCTTGGCCATTTGGGGAATGAACCAGTGGATGGAAGCGCTCTCTGTCTGTAACTCTGCCTCTCAAATAAATAAATAAATCTTAAAAAAAAAAAAAGAGGCCGGCGCCGCGGCTCACTAGGCTAATCCTCCGCCTAGCGGCGCCGGCACACCGGGTTCTAGTCCCGGTCGGGGCGCCGGATTCTGTCCCGGTTGCCCCTCTTCCAGGCCAGCCCTCTGCTGTGGCCAGGGAGTGCAGTGGAGGATGGCCCAGGTGCTTGGGCCCTGCACCCCATGGGAGACCAGGAAAAGCACCTGGCTCCTGGCTCCTGCCATCGGATCAGCGCGCTGCGCCGGCCGCAGCGCGCCGGCCGCGGCGGCCATTGGAGGGTGAACCAACGGCAAAGGAAGACCTTTCTCTCTGTCTCTCTCTCTCACTGTCCACTCTGCCTGTCAAAAAAAAAAAAAAAAAAAAAAAAAAAAAAAAGAAATGAAATGAAGGATGTAAATCTTTTAAAATAGTGGGTACACAATAGCGGTATTCAAAAAGCTCAATTTTCCATAAGCATTCTGAAGTACTTCAAGGTTGCTTCCGGAAAGACTTTGTTTACCTACCTCTAGTTCACTGTCATTGGTGCCTCTCTCTACTGCAACCTTGTAGCACCTAGTTACAACTTTTTTTTTTTTTTGCTAATTTGATAGTTTTAATTTGCATTTCTTTGATCTGCTGTGAGGTTAACACGATGTGCTACTTTTTGTGTCAATGTTTCTGTTCTCTTTCTATCACCTGATGTTCCTCCAGAGCAGCTCCCCTGGCCACTTCCTGATTTCTCCTAATTTCAGTGTGATCCTCCGTGGTCCCCTAATTTCTGAACCAGAAGAGGGAATACTTGGTTTCCCTTCAGTTACCAACTGCGGCCACTCCTTGCTTTTCTTTCTTTTTACTTTTATTTGTTGGAGAGGCAGAGAGGCTGACTTGGCAGCAGTGCTGTGCAGGCATTGCTCTGCGGAGGCTGGGGCCCCTGCTGGACCTTGAAGCCCTCACTCCCCCCCTCTCCCCATTGCCTACACTTCTTTTCAGGCTTGATTCAACACTAATCTCCCACAGGGATCTATGCCAGACTCACCCAGACTCAGACCTGTCGCACTATATTGCAATTGCTTTTCCAGCATAGAGGACAACATGCACAAGTGGGCCATCATTTTTTATTTTTTTTATATGAGAAAGACAGAAGCACGGAGGAAGTGTTATTTTAGGAGGAAGGTGTTGGTAAAATGGCAGTGTTATCTGTGGCGCAATCTACACCCCAGACACCATCCTAGGCTCTAGCCCCCAGCCCCAACCATGGCTGAAAGCCAGGTGACTCCACGGCCCAACCAGCAGTGTCAACTCTACCCACATCCTAATGGGATTCACTGCTCCTACTTCCCTGCCCGTCCCCCACCCCCCCCCCCGCAAAGTTTTAAGAGAACCTGTTCCTGAACATGTGGCTCTCTCTCTCTCTCTCTCTCTCTCTCTCTCTCTCTCTCCAGTGTTTGGTGTGTTTTGTGGCAGCCTTACAGAAGGTGACACATTCCATTAAAAAAAAATATTTTATGTATTTGAAAAGTGGAGTTACAGAGAAAGAGGGAAAGAGAGAGAGAGAGAGAGAGAGAGATCGATCTTCCGTCTGCTGGTTCACTCCCAAGATGGCCACAACTGCTGGGGCTGGGCCAGGCAGAAGCTGGGAGCCAGAAGCTTCATCTGGGTCTCCCACATGAGTGCAGGGGCCCAAGGACTTGGGTCATCTTTTGCTGCTTTTCCCACGCCATTAGCAGGGGAACTGGATTGGAAATGATGACAGCTTAACCCACTACACCACAATGCCAACCCCCATACATTTTGGAGACATACATTTTGAACCAATTGAACTTGGGGTGATGGCAAGCAGTAGCCTTATCTTTTATCCGTTATCTAGACTTATCCCTTGGCTGTCGGCTCAGACTTGAGGAGAGAGGTTAGGTCAGAGTCATTTGTAAAGTTGGCAGGGGATGCAGTGAAATTTTTAAGTCAACAGAGACTTGGGCATTTGGTGCAGTTGTTAAGATGCTGCTTGGGGCCAGCGCCGCGGCTCACTAGGCTAATCCTCCGCCTAGCAGTGCCGGCACACTGGGTTCTAGTCCTGGTCCGGGTGCCGGATTCTGTCCCGGTTGCCCCTCTTCCAGGCCAGCCCTCTGCTGTGGCCAGGGAGTGCAGTGGAGGATGGCCCAGGTGCTTGGGCCCTGCACCCCATGGGAAACCAGGAAAAGCACCTGGCTCCTGGCTCCTGCCATCGGATCAGCGCGGTGCGCCGGCCGCAGCGCACCAGCCGCGGCGGCCATTGGAGGGTGAACCAACGGCAAAGGAAGACCTTTCTCTCTGTCTCTCTGTCTCTCTCTCTCACTGTCCACTCTGCCTGTCAAAAATAAATAAATAAATAAATAAATAAAAAGATGCTGCTTGGGACACCTGTGTCCCATATCAGAGTGCCTGGGTTCAAGTCTCTGCTCTGCTTCCAATTCCAGTTTCCTGCTAAAGTACTTTGGGTGACAGCAGGTGATGACTCAGGTACATGGGTCTGCCTTATGTGGTAGACCTGGATTGAGTTTTGGCTTCTGTCTTAAGCCTGGTCCATCTTTGGCTGTTGTGAACATTCAGAAATGAACCAGTGGATGGAAGACTTCTCTCTCCTTCTGTCTGCCTTTGAAATAAAAGTTAAAATTTAAAAAAAAAAAAAAGAGTAGAGGGGACCGCATACCCTGCCAGAGGAGTGTTCTAGAGATGGTGTTGTGCAGTGTACCCAAGAGGCCTGAATTAATCCATGTTCCACCACTTATTGGAGCCAAATTTCAAAAGAAGTAAAATTGAAAAGCCTTCCTCCCACGCCTATTTCTTGGGCCTCACTCCTCTTCCAGGACAACCAAAGTTTAATTTCCTTATGTTAACTTTCCAAAATATTTTTTCTTTTTTAAGCTTTTATTTATGTGAAAGGCAGAGAGACAGAGAGATCTCCCATGTGCTGGTTTACTCCCCAAATGCTTGCAATAGCCAGGGCTGGGCCAGACTGAAGCTAGGAGCCAGGAACTCTATCCAGCTCTCCCATGAGGTGACAGGGACCCAACTCCTGGAGCTGTCACCTGCTGCCTTCCAAAGTAGGCATTAGTAGGAAGCTGGAATTGGAGGAGGAGCTTGAACTTGAACTCAGGCAGTCTGATGTGGGACATGTTCTTCTTCTTCTTCTTCTTCTTCTTCTTCTTTTTAAGATTTATGTATTTATTTGAAAGTCCGAGTTACACAGAGAGTTGTAGAAGCAGAGAGAGAGAGAGAGAGAGAGAGAGAGGAGAGAGAGAGGTCTTTCATCTGCTGGTTCACTCTCCAATTGGCCACAATGGCTGGAGCAGCACTGATCCAAAGCCAGGAGCCAGGAGCTTCTTCTGGGTCTCCTACGTGGGTGCAGGGGCCCAAGGATTTGGGCCATCTTCTACTGATTTCCCAGGCCATAGCAGAGAGCTGGATTGGAAGTGGAGCAGCCAGGACTCAAACCAGCACCCATATGGGATGCTGGCACTGCAGGCGGCAGCTTTACCCTCTATGCCACAGCACCGGCCCCGGGATGTGTACTTTTAAACCACTAGGCCAAATATCCATTCCCCTTTATCAAGTAGTTTTGATCCACAGCTGGTTGAATCAGTGGGTGTAGAACTTGTTGGTATAGGGAACCAACCAAATGCATGTGTGTGCTTATGGGGGTAGTTTCCTACTCCTTTTACAATGAATAGTAGCCTGTTTCACATCTTGCTTTATTCAGTGAAGGGTGTTTCTGAGATACTGTTCCAGATCCCTGTATAGAAAGATTGCTCATGCCTCTTGCATGGCTGCCTAGCAATTGCCCAATGGGTGAACTATAATTTATATAACCTATCCTTTGTGGACATTTAGCTTTGTAAGCACATTTGTAATTCTGATAGATACTATAAATTACCTTCCAAACAAATTACATTGGTGTTCATTCTTACCAATAATGTGTGAGAATCGTTATCAGCAAAATGAGCAGAACGGGCATCTATTTCCGGGAACTGTTGCGAAGGTCATTGGAGACTATGGGTGTCAGGGATGGGCTTGTAGAAGCTGGTGCTCTCCAAATAAGGCCATGATTTCACCATTCCGGATGAGTGACCCACCGTCCCAGCCGGGTAAGTGGACGTTGTGGGATCTCCTGGCCAGTCGGGGGTTCCCCAGTTCTGCACGAAATCGTCAGCTCAGGTCAGAGCACCTGTGGGTTCCACCCCTGCCAGGGTGCCTCCATCTCCTGCACGTGGCTTCTGTTCCCAGGAAACTCCCCGCTGAGCAATCGCGTTGAATCCAAAAAAAACATGTGGGACCAAGGATCTTTCCCCCTGGTCATCAAGGATCTCAGGATGGACGACTCGGGGACTTACATCTGCGAAGTGGGGGACAAGAAGATGGAGGTGGAACTGCTGGTGTTCAGATGTGAGTTGGGGAGGCTGAGCCCTCCTCCCATCTCCCTGCCTCCCCTGCTCTCACCCTGCACCAACTGGGGCAGCCACAGGTGGGTCAGACAGGTCACCAAGTCTCAAACACCCCCTCAGCCTTGGATGGAGAGGTGCAGAGAGAGAGAAAGAGAGAGAGAGAGAGAGAGAGAGAGAGAGAGACAAGGGAAAGAGCTAAAGGAAGGAGGGAGATTCAGAAAGGGAAGGAGGGAAAGGGAACTCAGCTTGGGCTGGGGGTGGGGACCTGGGTGCCGGGAGATAGGAGATGCTGGGACAGGGTTATGAGGATGGAGAGCCACTCCTGGTTTCCTGTCCCCTTCCTTTCTCCTTGGAGATGGGGTGTGTGACACAGGCCATCTGCTCCCTCCTCCACAGTGACTGCCAACCCGAACACCCGCCTGCTACATGGACAGTCACTAACCCTCACCTTGGAAGGCCCCTCTGTGGGGAGCCCCTCCGTGCAATGGAAGAGTCCAGAAAATAAAATCATAGAAACCGGCAAGACTTGCTCCATGCCCAAGCTGAGGCTCCAGGACAGTGGCACCTGGTCCTGCCACCTGTCGTTCCAGGACCAGAACAAACTGGAGCTAGACATAAAAATCGTAGTGTTGGGTAAGAGACGCTCCTCTCGCCTGCCACCCCCTCCCCGTGCACCAGCCCTCCCCCCACCCCCATGCACTCATCCTCAGGGTTGGCCATAGAAGAAGGGAGGGAGGGGAAACATGAAGACAGGAGAGCGCCAGAGACCCCTGGGGCAGGCCCCAAAGGAGGAAAGTCAAGGGCAGCAATCTTCTGTATTGCTCCATCTCCCCACCCCTACCAAATCCACTTCCTCGGGGACACCAACACCAGCAAGCCAGCCATTATGAAATGCCACTTTGTACCTGTACAGCCCCAAGCCAGGCCCTGTGGGAAGACCAAGAGCCCAGAACGCAGGTCCTGCCCCAGACCCCTCCTGTGCTCATGTGACAGGAGACAGTGTAGTGGGCGGGGTAGTGCACAAAGTCTGATCTATATCCGGATCCCACCACAACCAGTGCAACCTGAGGTAGGTTCCTGAAGCTCTGTGTGTGCATCTGTGAAATGGGGGCAAAGCTAAGTGTGACAGTGCCTTCCTTGGTGAGAGTTGATAACTGGGGCACGCTGAGAACAGCAGCTGGTGAGGCAGTAAGCCCCACCGATAAACCGCACCTGAGGAGGGAGAGGCCCCCGTGGCTGAGCTGGTCCCGGAAGCCTTGAGGGGGAGAAGCATGCTGGGGTGGAGAGACAGGAAGAAACCCAGGCACCCAAAATGAAGAGCTGGACCACCCTGGTCCCACTTGCACCTTTCTGCTGCCCCGGCCACATACGCACACCCTCCTGTGTGCCTGCATCCTCCTGTTTCCCCCTCACCCAGGCTCTCTCCCTTCCTGCCTCCAGGCTTCCAAAAGGCCTCGGCCACAGTCTACAAGAAAGAGGGGGAGCAGGTGGAGTTCTCTTTCCCGCTTAACTTCGAAGACGAAAGCCTGAGCGGAGAGCTCATGTGGCAGGCAGACGGGGCTTCCTCGGCCCAGTCCTGGGTCAGCTTCTCCTTGGAGGACAGGAAGGTGTCTGTGCAGAAGATCCTCCCTGACCTCAAGATCCAGATGAGCAAGGGGCTCCCGCTCAGCCTCACCCTGCCCCAGGCCCTGCATCGCTATGCTGGTTCCGGAAACCTGAGCCTGACCCTTGATAAGGGAAAGTTGCATCAGCAAGTGAGCCTGGTGATGCTGAAAGGTGAAGAGCTAGACTGAGAGGGGTACAGCAGGGGTGGAGGTGGAGGGAGGGGCTCCCCTGGAGATGGGCTGGCGCACAAGGGGGATGTCTGGTTAGAGGAACCTGGGGCTGGGGCTGGCTTTGAACTCAGGCTGGGATCCACATGGCCTGGCTCCGTGGAGAATCTGCAAAAGGCTTGCGCTAAGAACCAGGGTCCAAGTTCCGCCTCTGCCCAGTCCTCTGCAACCCTGGCTAAGTCCCCACTACTCACCTGTCTGACAAGGATAACAGAATCCACTGCTTATATGGAGTGATGGTGTTGAGCAGCCCTTCCTTGTCTCCTAACAACTCCACAAACAGCAATTTGGCCAACACTTGCTGTGTAACACACGGCAGCCCCACTCAAACACGTGCCACGTAACCCTGCATTCATTGATCCTCCGGGGCTCAGGCTTTTAAATAACTGCCCAAGAAGCACATGCCTTGGAAGCCATGGCATTGGAATTCAAATCCAAGTCCAAGGCGGTATCTCCTCTCTTAGGACTGCAAGGAAATGAGCTCTGTGAGGCCGCAACCACCCCTGCAAAGCATCATTTTGATTGTTTCACTGAATCCCCATAGAGCGCGAGGGTGCTGGGAACCCAGAGGGCCAGGCCTCCTGTCTCTGTCTCTCATTCCTCTGCAGTGACTCAGGTAAAGAACAAGTTGACTTGTGAGGTGCTGGGACCCACTGACCCCAAGATGAAGCTGAGCTTGAAGCTGGAGGACCAGGAAGCAAAGGTCTCCACCCCGAAGATGGTGCAGGTGCTGGACCCCAAGGCAGGGACCTGGCAGTGTCTGCTGAGAAGTGGGGACCAGGTGCTGCTGGAGTCCAAGGCTGATGGTGAGGATTCAGGCTCCAGGGCCCAGCCCCGGGCCTCTGCCTTCTCAGCTGTTGGACCCTCCCAGGTTGTCAGAGACCACCCAGGACCCCAGCCTCCTGAGGTGAAGGGCTCGTATGTGGGGTGGCCTGGGGTCGTGGAGGTGTGGTCCTAGGCGCTCTAGGCCCACAAGTTCCCACCTCCCTAAGGCCTATAGCCAAGATGGGGCCCACTTGGCTAAGAGCCCCCTCCCTGGCTTCCTTCCAAACCCAGATCTACACACACACGCACACACACGCACACACACAGGCCAGGGTCCTCTGTGCCCAGCTCCCCTGAGAACCCTGTAGTCTCTACAGCATCAAGCCCATTCCCTTGGGAGCCTTGTGCACCCTGCCCTCGCCCTTCCAGCCCCAGGATGGCAGCCACATCTGGCTGGGCAGCAAGGCTGCGCTCGGTGCCTCCAGTAGACCCTGTGCCTCTGACGGTGGGGGGAGGGGGTGCACCTTCCTAACTCCCCACTCCACTCTTGCAGTTTTAGCCACGGGACTCAGCCACCAGCAGCCCACGCTCCTGGCTGGCGCACTGGGGGGTGCCGCGGGCCTTGTACTCTTCGCTGGGCTCTGCATCTACTGCTGTGTCAAGTGCCGGCACCGACGGGTGAGTCTCCCTGGAGTCACCCTGCTGCCCCTCCCCCCCAGGGCCCTCCTGTATCTGTGCCTGGCCCTCTCCACCCACTCCCATGTTCCTGAACTGCAGACCGGGCCCTGTCCCAAATCCCACATGGACAGACAGACAGCTGGGAGCGCAGAGTTAGTGTCCAGACAGATGGGCTCAGCCACAGTAACTACTTCTCCTCTCCTAGCTTCCCCCACCCCCCCTCCAAGGGGCACCTCCCTTCTGGAGGCAGGGGACCCTCACGACTCCCCTCCTTGTTCCTGGACAGCATCAGGCACAGCGGATGTCTCAGATCAAGAAGCTGCTCAGTGAGAAGAAGACCTGCCAGTGTCCCCAGTAAGGACCTGGGTGGAGGGGAAGGGGCAAGCAGGAGACTCAGTGGGGTGGGGGGATGGGAGGGCAGGAGGGGAGGAGGAAGAGCTGAGAAGGGAGCAGTGAGAAGGGAAGGAGGCAGCGGAGGTGGTGGAGAGGGAGAGTCAGGGGGTGCAGGGGCCTGCCGAGAAGGGGCAGCAGGCCTGGGGTACCCGGATGTGGCTCTGCAGCTGTGGTCCAGAGGCTGTCACAGCACTGGAAGAGAAGAGTCAGAGCAAGAGCCATGGAGGCCCTAGAAGGCGAAGCCGCTGGGGGGACAGACTTGCTCCCCTCCTCCTTCCTCTCTCCAGCCGGCTGCAGAAGACTTACAATCTCCTGTGAGGTGCGAGGCCAGAGGCCAGGACGCCTTGCCACCTGCAGCCTCCCCAGCTGTCTGCCCTGCAGTCCTGGTGGCTCCTCCGGGGCCCGAGGACCGGATGAATGTAGCAGATCCCAGCGCTGCCTCTGCCCTCTCCCATGCCCAGCTCTGCAATTTCCAGAGGCGTCACCCTGCCATTCTGCCCCCACTTCCTTTGTCTTCAAGCCCTGCTCTTTGTTGATTATTTCTGCTCTACCCTCTCCCCCTTGGATCCCAGGGGCGAGCACAGGACCAGCCCTACCTGGCATGCAGAGGAGGACAGGGAGGCAGGGAGCACAGGACTCTACAGGAGAGGATCAAAGAGAACAGGGGCTTGCCTGAGACCCCACAGCCAGTCAAGGAGAGACTCAGACCCAGGGCTCCTGGTGGACTGCAGCCCCCACTGCCCCATGCTGCCTGCTTCTCACCTGTGTTGGCGGAGCCACACACTTACCTCCTGCCCAGGTGGGCCTCCCAGAAACACACCACGCACACAGCCACATACGGGTCCACAACAGCTCCCTACCACCCAGCAGCACAGCTGCACCTCGCTCTATCTGTCTACCTTATGGAAACCCCAGGAGGCTGGCAGTGACGAGGCCATCACGTCCAGTTTGTAGGCCAGAAACAGAACCCCCAGAGGCTAGGTGAGTACCCATGGTCACACAGGGTGCAAGTGCCGGAGTCCAGACTCCCCCAGCGGCTTCTGGAATGCCGAGAGAAATGCCACGCAGCTGCTCATGGGTACCCATGTGTCCCCTTGGGCTCCCAGGAGCCCAGGCCCCACAGGGAGGGCCAGTCTCAGCGCAGAACAGGGGCACAGCCTCCCTCCTGGTCTTGGCGTTCATCACCTGTGTTCCCTGGAGACGCTGCCTTGGGAGCCCCTGATGAGAGCACAGGCCCTGAGGGACAGGCGTCCAGTGCCCATTCACCCTGTGCAAAGCTGGCCCCAGAGTGAGCCCTGCGCAGCCCTGTGGGAAAGGTGACAGCACCAGGCCTCAGGTCCCCTGCGCCCCAAACCCTCCTTCATGTTGCCTCCAAATGGTCCATGATGCAAGGCAACCAGAGTTAGCAGGATGCCCCCTCCTCTTCCTCTCAGGGACCCCAGCCTCCTCTGCCTCTCTTCTCTTTCCCTTCCTCACCATCTCCCTCAGTCCCAACCTCTTTCTCCCCTCCCCCCTTTCCTTTCCCTTCATTCTTTTCAGCTTGCCTCTTCCAGGAAGACCACCCAATTGCTGCCAAGGCTCCCCATTCCTGCCCAACCCCTACCTCTGCCTCCCGGAGCTGACAGAAAAATACAATAAACTTACTGTAAAGATGGTGTGTGTGTGTGTGTGTGTGTGTGTGCGTGTGTGTGTGTGTGTGAAAGAGAGAGACAAAGAGACAGAACGCTCTCTGGGGACCAGGAATCTGCTGGTCTTTGGGATCCTCTCCAGAGAGGCTGCCAGACTTGCTCTGGGGAGCAGATGAAGTTTTGTTGGAGAAGGAAAAATCCCCTGGAGGCTGGCTGCCCCCTGCACCCCCCCCCCCAGCCTGTGTGTGAGGCTAAGACTTGGTGGGGACAGGCCTGACTGGGGGGCGTGGAGTTGTGCTTTCCTGGCCTTCC